AGTATTTTAAGGGGTGGTAGATAAAAGAAACATATTTTTCTTTATCGTTTTTCAAATAAGTCCAAAATAACGGAGTTATTTTACTTTGAAAATCTACAAAAAAAAATTGCTAAAATTTTGAGAACCAGTGGATTTTTTCTGGATTTTCTTTCCTGTAAATTTAATCTAATACCTATGTTGTCATATTAACAAGAAATTATGTCTTTTAACTAAAAACTAAAAAAAATCCCGAAGTTTTCAATTGTTTTTTCGCGAAAAAAAACTCATAGGCGTGTTTCTGGGGTTGAACTATACTACCAGTTAAAATACTTGTACTTATTTCTGGAACACCCTGTATATTACAGTCAGTATGTCCCCGGATTGTCTTTACAAGAGGAAAAACTTTTTAATTATTGACTTTTTGAAAAAAATGCGTTCTTCATAAGAAGTTGTGCTTGTTTTAATTTTCTAAATATCCATACCGTTTTAAAAAAACATAAAAATGTAGTTTTTTAATGTAATTTTTCCCCAAAAAAAATCCTAAAAAAAATAAAAGTCCTAAAAATTAAAACGCTATGGTAATATAATTTCGATTTCATTTTTTGATAGATCATTATAATTAATTTTGATTAACGTCATATTTTTTGATGTTAAAGTATAACATTTTCCGATAACTATTATCACCCTTTCCGTAGCATTGAACTAAATAAATTTTGTGCTTCTTTAACATTTTAAAACAGCAAAAAATATAACTTTAACCCTTAACTGGTCCGGCGTCGTCTGACAGACTACGCCAAATAATTAACTCATTCTCATTAGTTACTGGGACCGCCCACACAAATGGCGTTCCAGCTAATCCTCCCCCTCTCGGTCAACTACTGATAGCCATATTTATGCCCAAACTGGATTAGTTTTTTAGAAGTTATGGCAGAAGTTACTTAAGCCGTAGTCTCTCAGACGACGCCGGACCGTTTGCGTAAGATTTTGTGTTTGACAAACTTTTGTAAAATATGGCCGGGCCTTCGAAAAGAGTGCGTTTAGAAGACTCTAGTTATGAAGAAACTCTAATTAAAATGATATGATGAGGACTGTGACAGTGACAATATGACAATATGCCAGACAAATACGTTTGACAATGTCCAATATTCCAAGAGAAATATATTTTACAATTGGTATAATACTTGCAATTCCTGTACAACCAGAACACGCATACGGAGATATTCTTATCCCAGAGTTCTTATCCTAGTTAAAGACAATGTTATGTCCTAGTTTAATTATTTTTAATGCCTAGAATGTACGAATCCATTTTGTAAAACATGTTCAGGGAAACAATGAACTTTGCCTCATGCTGTAACTAAAAACCTTTTCTTTAACTTCAGTTTTATAGCTTATTTTTTTTATATATAGTACTAAAAACATATTTCTGTATTGTAATGACTGTTAGTAATTTGGTTTTATTTTTTAGAGCTTAGCAAAAATCTAATTGTTTTTTTTTCAAATTTATATGTATGTCATTTTATTTTGTACTATATTTTCTTAAATTTTATATTAATTGTACCCATTTTTGTCTATGTTAGTTCAATAATACATAATATAATATACCGTAAAATAAAAATTTGTTATTTTTTAGTTTTTGTGTGTTTTTTTCACTTTTTAGAAGGCGTAGTCCCACAGACTACGCCGGACCGTTTATGATACATATCTATTACCGGACCAGTTAAGGGTTAATTAAAATTCTGTCAATAATAATCTATCAAAAAATGAGAACGAAATTATATTACCATAGAAAGGCGTTTTATTTTTGCTAGTTCAAAAATTCAACTACATTTTCATGTTTTTTTTTATTTTTCTCTAAAACGGTATGGAAATTTGGAAAAGTATAAACAGGAATTACCATTTTAGAACAAGAAAAATTTTTATGAAGACAATCCGCGGACATACTGTAGATATAAATATGTTATTCATCGGCAGTGCCGTTTTTACGAAGGAACCCGACGCGCGACGCGACGGTCCCCGACCAAAGAATTAAGGGCCCCCTCGAGGGCCCCAGCTTCAAAAAGGCATCAAAAATGATAACATCATTTTTATAAAGCTTATAATAATACATTTAAATTGAAAACCGAATTCAATTTGACGTAATAAAACAATCCCCGAGCGAATATTTGCATATATTTAATGACAATTTATGATGACAAAATCATGGGAATACCGGTTCCACATATAAGCCGCGTTACTTTCGCGACCGTTCCAGGTAAATACCGCGATTTTGTAAGGGGCCCCTTACAAAATCGCGGTATACTCCTATATACGTCCAAGAATAAATAATAATTATTCAAATATAAAAAATAATAATTATTCGATATTCTAAACAAAGAAAATTACCCCTTGTTTTAATTTCGTAAATAGAAAAATGCCATTGACAATTACTGGGGCCTAATAATTGATAATTAAGTAAATATCTGCTTCCAATTATACTGTGTTTAGTTTGCGTATACTTATGGTTTGCATACTCTAATTACAAATTGCTTTATAACTACTGAACACATATTGGCCTGTTTGCCAGTTGAATAAAAAATTACTTATTAAGATTTGGAGGCCCCCTAGAAGAAGGGGCCCGGGGGGGACCGCCCCTTCCAGAAAACTGGTACCGCCTGGTACAAGTTTCCAGATAATCTTCCATCCGAAATTCCTCCAATTTCGATTTTATTTTTCACAAAAACTAAGAAGATATGCTAAAATATGGGATTGAATGAGAGTAACACCTGGGCCTGAACCGATTTCTCTTGAACGAAAAAATGTCCATTGCATTGGTAGGAGTCTACGTCTAAGAGCTGTCACTTTTATTTATTATGGTGGCACAGAATAAGTTAACCTGTCGTCTTGAGCATAATAAAATGAAATTCTTGTCGGCTACAATAAGATAGGTAGAGCCCGACGATGTTGTAAAATATCCGAGACCCACAGGGTGTGGCAAATACCCGAGACAATAGCCAGGGAAAATTCCTTAACGGCCTGTAGTATTTTTATCGTGTCTTACCCCTTTCCGAACAATGAACATCTTTCACTTTATACTTTTTAATTTTGGTTATGATAATTATGTGAAGTTGAACCCACACAGAGAAAAGGGTACGTCGGTACGTGGACTTGATCATTTCATCACGTTTCGTGAATCTGAACAGTGCCAATCCGATTTATATGAAATTATTATGAGGTTCTTATATTTTAAATAATTTTTTACCAATTTTTGTGTAATATCTAATTAATTGAGTAGGTTAATCGGGTAGGTTAGGTTGTAGTTTGCATTCGAGTTCATATGTTTCTAACGACGGTACACCACCCGGTAGATTAAAATTAAGTTAAAAAAATATCGGTCAGTGTTCTCACAAGAACAGTAGTTGTGGTCCTATGAGAACAGTAATGGATGTACGAGACGTTTTCACCATCATCAAAAACAGGTGAAAAACAAGGGTCCAAAAAATAATTTTCCCACTGTCCACTAATTGTCCAGAAATTTTCAACATTTTTGGACAACCGTTGTTGTTTTTATAAGAGCTTTGAATATAATATGGTACAGTTTTAACTAGAGATGAGCAAAAAATCGGAAACATCTATCTTAAAATCGGATTGACTCTTAGGAAACTGCGATTACGATTTCTGCTACTTGCGAGTTTCAATTTAGGCAACCATATTACTATAGCTGCGATTTGCGACTTTGTTGCGATTTTGCTGCGACTGCGATTTTGTAAATTGGAACCGTGATTTCTATTTGCGAGTTTGAATTTTTAGGAGTTTTGCGATATTGTTGCGAATGTAATTTTGTGATCTATTGAAGCATTTTATAGTAAACTGCGATTGGATTTTCTCTCTGATATTATTTATTTATAGAGAAGGTATTATTTTTCTAGGGCAACGATCATAATATACCGGGTGTTTCTCAAGAGCGGTTCACCCCTTTAACTTTTTTATTGAAATTTTGAACAAAAACTGAAATAAAAACATGTAAAACTAAAAGAAAAAGAAATCGAAAACCAATCATGACTGCATTTAAAATGTGGTGAATTTCCTGCGATAATGAAAGTATGTGGACCTTTTAATGCGATAAATAGCTAATTGTTTTGTTGATCCAAGGTTGAGATGAGATTTTCTGCTAGACGCGGACATTTTTAAGTGCCTTTTTTCGGTTTTTTGTTCTGGCGTTTAAAGACATGTCGCCGAAGCAATTCCATTCCAGCAAACCACAAAATTTCGTCGAAAAAACAAGATGCCGGCATTTTCGTTCGCCTGCTACATTTTTTAAATCGCAGTAATATGCGGTAACAAGTTAGGCTCTGACGATCATGCAGGTCGGTGACTTGTGGAAACGTCAGCCAAGCATAGCAGATTGTCAGATTTTATTCCACCTATTCTTGGGCAAAAATATGAAATTTTCCTTAACGATATTCAAGCCGATGCTCCAAGGAAACTAGCGGAACCATTTATTACGATGTTCTGTTTATGTTATTACATGGACTTAATTCTGTTTTATTCGTGTGTAATAAACACACTGCTTACCGTGTGAATCTTCTTTATGAGTTTGTTTACACTAACACTATAAGACAACTTCGAGAGAGAATATTTCAACCCCAGAAAAACGTCTATGAGTTTTTTTTGCGAAGAAAATATTTTGAAAATTTGGAATTTTTGGAAATTTTTTAAATTTTTATTTAAAAACCATAATATCTTCAGATCAGTGGTAATCAAAATTTAAGCAAAAAATAATTTTTTAAATTTTCAAAGTAAAATACCTCGGTTATTTTGGATGTATTTGAAAACGACAAAGCAAAAATATGTTTTCTTTATCGAGATCTACCAGCCCTGGAAATATTTGCACTGATTTAAGACTCACCCTGTATAATAGACAAGTTTTTTATACAGCACAAAAATAATTTAAAAATAAAACGATAAAATAAAACCCCTTAACTGTTGTGGCATTTGTTACAGACTTTTTCCATTAACACAAAAAAACTTTTTTTTTATTCCAGGGCAATTAGCAGACGCATCTTGCTATTTCTCCCATGAATTCCAAGGAGATTTCGTAATGCAAACCTCGGCAAATGTCGGCAGTGGAATTCAATATAGCCCCCTCACTATAAACGCCATTTCTATATCGATTTGGGGCAATTGCCATAAAAGGAATGGCAGCAATGTTATCCTCATGTTCAAGTACGTATTAGTTAAAATAAAAAAAAGCTTTAAAAAATCTTTAAAACTCACAGCCCACTGTGACGCCGCTTTTTTTCGTTATACCGTGAGTGACAAAAGAAGGAGAATACCTATATTATACAGCGCTGTTCACCACACATACGACACGGAGTATTGTAGCTAAACGATTAGATTTTTACAAATTGTAAGTTTTGGGTTCGTTCAAGGACTATTAGAGCTACAATTTGAAAATAGTTTTACAAGATACAGAGTGTCCCAAATAAGTAAAAAATATTATAGTTGTATTTTTTTAAATGGAACACCCTGTATATTATTCTATTTTTGGATTCTACGATTGAAATAAAGGTAAATTTGATTAAGGTTTATCACACTTAAACCTTACCGTTTTTGAAATATTTTTAATTTTATGAAACTGCAGTAAAAATTTTAAAGCTTCATTTTTCCAAGGGTATCAAAATTTTAAAGCTTCATTTTTCCAAGGGAATCAAAGTTTTTAATACTAAATATTTTCTGAAGATTATTTATTGATCAGATATTATGTTGCAATAATAAAAATTTTACTACCTTATACAGAGTGTCCAAAAATTTACATTAAGTAATTACTAGCTCTAAACGGCAATAACTTGTTTAATTTAAATGGAACACCCTATATATTTTTCGTGAATCATATGCACAATTTAATTGTCTATCAAATTTTATTATACCATTTTTTACCTATCTCTTCAGGTTTTCGTAGAAAATGCATTTTCTTATAATTTAGACCTCATTTATCACTATACCCATGGAATATTGCCGTTTCAGATTTTTTTAAAGCAACATATATGTACAAAATGTACAGGTGGTAAATATTGCAAGCCCATTGGTATACAATTTTTTTTTTAAATCTTTGTAAAAGAGTATAACAATTAAATATACCACTATTATTTCCGACCAAAAATTAGTTAATTACATACTTTTAAATTGTTTTAATTAATAAAGTATTCTAAATAAATGTGTATTTGGGTCAGACATCAATATAATAATAAGTTATGAAAATGAACGTCTTTTATAAATAAGCATTCGTCAAAAAATGAAATAAAATTTATAAGGTGTTACTTTTTACCATACTGTCTAATACACACATAAAATTCAGTTTCTTAGTATTTGGAGCAATTAATATTAATCAATGTAAACAGTCAATTAATGTAGTTTAAATACTGGGATCATATTAATTAATTGGTTCTCTTTAACAAAAAATATTTAAACAGTTTTTTTTAATTTTTAATGAAATAAACTATATCGACAATATTAATATCTGTACTCTTTGAACATTTGTTACATCTTTAAAAATAATCTAAAATGTCAATATTCCATGGGTATAGTGATAAATTATAAGAAAATGCAGTTTCTACGAAAACTTGAAGAGATGGGTAAAAAATGGTATAATACAATTTGATAGACAATTACATTGTGCAGCTAATACACGTAAAATATATAGGGTATTCCATTTAAATTAAACAAATTATTGCCGTTTAAAGCTAGTAATTATTTAATATAAATTTTTGGACACTCTTTATAAGGTAGTAAAATTTTTATTATTGCAACACAATATCTGATCAATAAATAATCTTCAGTAAATATTTAGTATTAAAAACTTTGATACCCTTTGAGAAATGAAACCTTAAAATGTTTACTGCAATTTCATAAAATTGAAAATATTTCAAAAACGGTAAGGTTTAAGTGTGATAAACCTTAATCAAATTTACCTTTATTTTAATCGTAGAATCCAAAAATAGAATAATTTACAGGGAGTCTTATTTAAAAAAATACAACTATAGTATTTTTTACTTGTTTGGGACACTCTGTATCTTGTAAAACTATTTTTAAATTGTAGCTCTAATAGTCCTTCAACGAACTCAAAATTTACAATATGTAAAAATCTAATTGTTTAGCTACAATACTCCGTGTCGTATGTGGTGAACAACCCTGTATACATAAGATTTTAATAATTCTTGGTGTACATATGATGTCTTAGCAATCGATTTCCGCAAAAGTATCCCATTCAGTATGGGGTATCCCATTCCTGAATTAAGTCTTTTTAAAACTGACTCGTTGCAGCTCTGTACAGGTTTCCCCTTTTTTTCTCACTCAGTATATTATGTAGTTCTCAGGAAAAGAACCGTATTATTAACAATACTATAGTGAGTTTCTTTATGTCCGTTTCAATTAATTTTTAATTTACAGTTTCAGCGTACCGACTTGCTACAGATGCCTCCATTTGAAGCTGCGATCACCTAATGTGCTTCAAGTGTTTGCTTCTAGTCAAGAAATCATTTCGAAATGTTTTACCAACGTTGAAGCAGCGGAAGCAAACTGTCCTTCTGAGGAATCCGTCGAAACGCGTGGTTCAGCGGCGGAAATATTGTTATTCAGTAAGTCGTTAACGTATAGCTGTACGTATTTCTAGACAATGGCCATATAAAATTTGCTAATTAACAAACGTTTTTAATTAAATTGTTAGGAGGCAATTACGCCGGGCGTTATGTTTGTGTAGTAGAGGGCTGTGGGCTATTTGTAAACAAAGGAAAACCATTTCGAACATAGACGACTATTTTCCTTATTTTCCAGTCATGAAAATTCTAAATATTGGTCAATTTTGAGGTAAATCGAGAATATATTTATTATCTACATTAATTAATTAATTACAAGGTGTAGGTAAAATGGATTAAAGTAAATCGTTGTCAAAAATTGCTCGGAAGACATGATTTCGCTCTAATATTTTTTTACAACATCTAAAATTTCTGAAATTTTGGAATTCGTTTGAAATAGCACTTTTCCAGCTCTTTTTTTGCAAGCGTGTAAAAACAGAAAAGAAATTGACGAATTTTCGATATTAAATCCTTATACAGTGTGTTACCTCACGTAAAAATAAGATTTATTTTTCATATCAACATAGGTCCGTTTCTGCTTTGTTTCGTAGCTACAGGGTGTTTTCGTAGCTACAGTCTCAATATTTTTTCGATTTATTATAATTTTCTTCCAATTACTTTTAACGTTTCGAATGAAATTCTGAGGGTAAAAGTTTACTATAAATGCGACATATTTTAAAGCTAAAAAAGTGTCGACATTTTCACCAGGGACGTGCATACGGGTTATCACTGGAATATTTTTCTAAAAAAAACGATGTACGCCACTGACTTTTTTTTCTCTTGTTAGCGAATTAGTATAAGAAGTTTAATGCCGATTTAAAGGTGTCTCTCGATATTTTTTCGATTTCGGCCTCCTTGACGAGATAAACGTAATTTTATTAATTCGCCTTGATCCAAGTCTAATAACCTTTAAAATAGTTTAATATCATTAACTTGCCAAAGTTTTAAATAAGTATTCATTGATTCATCATCAAAAAATATGAAAAAAAGTTCCTATAAACATGGGTATGGAAATGCATAGTTTTAGAATTACGGGATGTTAAAAATTTTTAAAATTAGGTTTTTTGTAATTATCTTAAATACCATTATTTTTTTATTTGAAATCGCTGTAGGTTGGACTAATAGTAATAATAACTATAATAATAATACTATAATATAATTTATAACAATATAATATAAATAAAATAATTTATTAATTTAATTTTTGTTTTATTAATTGTGATTAATAAAATAGGGTTTATATCATCAAGGAGGCTGAATTCGACAAAATATCAAGAGATAACTTTTAATTGACATTAAACGGCCTACACAATTTTGATATCAAAAGAAAAAAGTCAGTGGCGCACTTGTTTTTTTTTGAAAAATATTTCAGTGATAACCTATATTCACGTCACTGATAAATTTATCGACACTTTTTTAGCATTATAGTAACTTTTACCCTCATAATTCCATTCGAATCACTAAAAGCACTTGAAAGAAAATTAAAAGAAATTGAAAGATTATTAAGACTTTAACACCCTGTAGCTATGAAACAAAGCAAAATCGGACCTATGTTGATATGAAAAATAAATCTATTTTTACGTGAGGAATCTCTCCACGAGAGATGGCACATGTTTTTTGAAACACCCTCTATGATTAAACAGGTTAGTTCAGAAATTCATTGAAAAAAAACCGAAATAAAAATGAAGATTCAGAAGTCAATTGCCAATATTTTCATAAAAATTATAGAAATTTTTATACATTTGAAACATTTTGAGAAATACCATTTTCTTGCAAACTGAAAAAATAACAAATTTAAATGTTTTTACATATATTTGAAATATGTAAAAGTTTCTATAAATACATGCGGTGTTACTAGAGATGGCGTTTTGATCATAACGAATGTAATTTGTTACTTTTAAATCAATAAAAATTGCATTTAACCCTTTGACTCTTAAAGGTGAGCCGCTGTTAATAAATAAAAAAATACAGAGTGGCCAGATCGTAGGTATATTATTTTTTAAAGATACCAAAAGAATTTAACGTGTATTCGAAAAACGATTAAAATATAAAAGCATAATAAGGCCAATTAATGTTTCAAACATGCTAGTCGTAAATCTGCTCAAAACCATTAATTTCCATAATAATAATTGAATGAAATGCGCTCAATTTAGCGTTGCCTGTTGTGTGTGTGTGTTTTTTTCTCTTTATGCTTAAGAATCCGAGCCGGGTTTAATAAGTTTATAGCTTTCTGATCTTAAAAAGCATCTGACTGAAGCAGGGCCCTGCTATAGGTGTAATTTAGCAGGTGCAGGAAAAGCAGGTTGGCCTCGAAGGGAGAAGAAGTATTTATATTAGCGGAATGGATGTTGCGTTGCGTTGAAACAGAGTCCAGGAATATTTTTGGGTTTTTTCGTTTTCTATATACTCTTACTTATTAGTAGTAGTGGGAACTATCGAATGAATACTATCGAAACATTCGATAGTTGCAATTCATTCGAATAATTCGATAGCTAGTAAGAAAACATTCGTTGAAAACTATTCGAATAAAAATTATCGAATAGATGCGTCATCTGCCTTGAAATATTGTATTCTAGTAATTCGGCAGCAAAAACCATTCATTTATAAAATTCATTCATTTATGAAATTCATTTATTAGTCAGGATCGATTATAATAAAATATTAACTGGATTTTAGTTGTCGCCCGGCGACGTAGGTTTTTCTTCGAGAAACCCGACAGCGGTCGGTGGCAATGCTATGAAGAAAGAAGCCGGCATCTTTGATTTTTGCGGAGTCAGATAAAAATAAGGACACATTATTTTTTTATTGAGGTGCTAGTATTTACACAGAAAATACATTATGAAGGGCGCTGTTGCCATATTTTGGGTATTAGTTGATATTAGCAAAGAATATTAATTGTTTGCCTTTAGTTAGTTAGGGTAGTATGTCTATATATTTTATATTTCTTTATTAATATTCTGTTGTTACACTGCAATAATACTTGTTATTTTGGATGTAGGAAAATGATTTTTAATGTTTTTAAGCAAAGACTGGTTTAATAAATAATAATAACAGTAATAATTTGTTATACCTATTAACAACAAAATTTGAAATCATTTAATATAAACATTTTTTTTAAGTAGTAGCAAAATATAAACAACAAATTTGATGTCAAAATTATTTATATTAGATCCTATTTAAAAATAATATAGTCTCTCAATTTTTTGTGGCAACGTTGGTTTATTAAATAATAATAATTACAGAACTAATTTGTTATATTAACAACAAATTTTAAAATCATGAAATATAAACATTTATTAATTTTCTAAGCGTGCAGTGTAATGCAAGGAAAATATAAATAAAAATTAGAAATCAAAATTATTTATATTCGGTACTTTATATTACTATTTAATAATAATAATATTTACTTTTACTGGTATTTACTTACTAAAAAATAAATGAAATATTTCTTCGCAAAAAACTACATGTAAGAGAATTAGCATAAACAAAATACAAACATCGTTAACTTTTTTTTAAATTGGCACGTGTAAAACTTTTAATTTAATTTTCTCACCCCATAGTCTGAGTTCGATAACCATTTACTTAACCACATTAATTAATATAATTATTAAGTTCAACTAATTCATATTATTAAAACATCTAAAATACAAATATGTATTTTTAAAATTAATTGTAAGTTCATCTCATCTCTCTTAAAAATTGCTACTTCTCAAAATTTCCCATTAAAAAATAGACCATATACCATATAAAATTAAATAATTGAAAGATCGGGCTACGGAAAATCACACAAACTTTCGGAAAAATTTTGACCACCTGCACACGCACACAATCGTCAATTAAAAAAACTACTATTTTAGTATTTTAAATATTTTAATAAACGCAAAAATAGCACAGTATTTATAAGGCGAAGTTATAAAAATTTGGAAGAACTAATAATGCACTGACGCACAAAAAATCAAACAGATACTAAATTTCATTTATCAAAAGCATTCGATAGTCGTGGCTCAACGATAACCATTTAGTCGCACGGCGAGGTTGTCACATATGCTTTAGTATACAAATGAATGAATGATTTTATTCGAATAAAACCATTCGATAGTTGAAATCATTCATTCAGTAACCATTCGATAGTTTAATTCATTCGATAGTTCCCATCGCTACTTATTTGTACATAATTAATATTTTTTATTATTAGTATAATTGTTTTTTTTTAATTTTTTATATAGTTATATTCATTTTTTTTAATTTTGGTCCAGCCAACATTGGTGAGGTATCTTTAAAGGTGTATACAGGGTGGTCCGAACTGTATTCCGGAAACTTTGGCATCATATTCTGCAGATAAAAATAAGAAAAAAAGTTCGTAAAAATGTATGTTCTAAAATGCTTAGTTTCGGAGATACAGGGTGTAGAATTTTCATTTTTATTTCTGAAGTAACGTTAATATTTGGATGAAAATTTGTGTCTGGGACTTTTTTGACATGAGAAATTTGATTTTGATTTTTGTCAATATAACTGCTATTTGCAGGGGGCGCCACCTACGTGTGTTTTAATTGTTTTGCAGAGTAATAACTTTTCTCGTCCGTACCTGTATAAAACTACTGAGTGAAAAAATATACATTTCCGTAAGACTCTCAAGGCGTTAAACGCTAGATACGGGAGCTATTATTATAACTATTTAGTCCACATCTTTAATTTATGTCAATAATGACAGGTATTGATATCTCAAGAACTATTACTCCTAGCGATTTTTACCAAGAAACTTTCTTTAAGTAAAAAACGTCGTAAATGTATATTTTTTAATCAGTAGTTTTATACAGGTCCGGACGAAAAGTTATTATTCTTCAAACCAGTTAAAAAATATTACATATTGACATCAAAATCAAATTTATCGTGCCAAAAAACTCCCAGGCACCAATTTTCATCCAAATATTGAGGTTATTTCATAAATTATTTTGAAAAAATCGGAATAAAAATCACCCAGGAAACTTCACCCTGTATCTCCGAAACTAAGCATTTTATTTATATACATTTAAATCAATTTTTTTTACTTATTTTTATCTGCAGAATATGCTGCCGAAGTTTCCGGAATACAGTTCGGACCACCCTGTATATTCTGAACCTGCATAAAATTTCTTACAAATGCTGAACTTTTCCAAATTTTATAACTATCCACCAAAAACTGATATGTTTGTAAAATTTTTGAAAATGAGACACTTTACAATACAAACGTCAATAATTTTCTAATTTCTCCCTTGCAGAAATTAAAGATTACCAAGACCTAATCACCCAAAAACAGTACTGCCCCATCGATGGAAAATACTACACAGACTACAAAGGGAAGAACCCTTTAAGGCCTCAAGAATGTGTTGGTTTCAACTCTACAGTCGATTCCTGCCCTTCAGGCTCAACACTAAACTTCAGGTTGAGAAGCTGCTCATTCGACAGCTACGGTAACATTCACAATTCCGTCATTTTTCGTTTAGTTATTTTTTAATAATTTTAGACCTGAGGTTTGACTGTCTTGGACACTGGAAAGGACCAAACGATCAGACATTTCTGGTATTTACAGACAGCAGACATCTGGATGGACAGAAACCAAAATACAGATGTGCTGTAAGTATTAAAAAAATATACCACATCAAATTAAACTAAAACGATCTTTTTAGCTTTACAGACAAGACAAAGTTACCGGCCAGGTCGAAATGGCTGTAAGCAGGGATTCAACTTGCACTACTGACCTATACAATGCCACCAATGGCTTCGAAACCTTCGTCTTATCGCAAAAAACTGAAAGCCCTTGGCCCCCAGAAGTTAGTTTTGGAATTTGTAGCTTCCCAAAATGGATGTTCGGCACTTGGGAATATGTGAGAGTCGAAGCAGACACAATGGTGTATAAGGATCACACTTCATTCAAAACTTACACGATCAAATGTGCGGGTGAACATGAAGAAAGTAATAAATATTTGGTCTTCAGTAGAACCCAGTGGTAAGAAACATTTTTACATATACGTCTTTATTATTTTGATTTATCTGTACTTTAAATTTAGTAACGAAGAATCATATAACTGTATGAGAATAGCAAACAGAAGTAAAAATATCCTAGAATTCCAATTGGGAACTAATTCCAGCACTAGCAAAGACGTTTATTCTTTATGTTCCAATGATAACTTTGATGACAATTCTTGGATAACCCAAGGAAGTATGTTATTTGCTTCTGAAATATACGATTATTATTTTAATAAAATCTATATTTAAACAATTTCAGGACTAGACCTTACATCCCCTATGCAAAACAGACTTTGTCCAATAACCGGGGAATATACAGGGCGTATTCCTGACGCTCCAGACTTATGCGCCAAACTGTGGTCTGACTGTAGAGCTCCTGAACTAATGTACTACCAAGTATCCGACTGTACTAACGACGAGATATACGAAGAAAGAGAGTATCAGTGTTTGGGACATTGGAAAGAAATGAATTTGCTCTATACCTATACAGAGAGAAAAGATGTAGCTGATGGTACTTACGAATGTTTTGTCGGTTCAATCAACTCGGATAAAGAAATATACATCAAGGAGGCTGGTGAACACTGCCAGAGAAATATCAATCCCTCGCTCTATGGTATGAAGCTTACTAAGACAAAATCGACTTATTCTTGTGGAAGTACAGACAGACCATATTTGGAACCTTCGCTACCTCCAAGATTCAGTACTGTGTCACCTAGACGTACCACAACCAAAAGTACCGGTAAGATAATAACATATTTATTTAAAAATTACATTTTCAACTTCTCACAACTCACCAAAATCTCATTCACGTAAAGTTTCATCATACGTTTAACACAACTCACTTGTAGTATCACACTGAAACAAAATTGGATTGGCAAAGTATATTATATCACCTTCCAATGCAAATATTTGCTAAAAGTGATAACGAGATGGAAAACAAATTAGCACACACTGCATTCAATATTTTTCGCATATACGTTCCTCATTTTGCTTTCCTATTATTAAAAATATTATTTTTATTTTTAGACTCCAATTCCATCCCGGATCAGCCACATGACAAGCAAAACGCCAGTGAAAAAGTATCGATATCGCTTCTGTACATGTTCTTGTTGTTTGTATTTACTAGATCCTTATAATGCAAAGACTTATATAGCTTTAAACCTTGAAGCAGACGATGTTTTCGAAAACTTTTGTTCTTAAACTGTTTTGAAATATCGTTTACTGTTCCAGAGACATAACTTTCTGTGTTACACAGTTCCAGACCTTGCCAGACTACAATCTAATTTATACTAGAATTATTATCCTCTGCCTGTATCATATTATTTATTTCCTATAATTATTTTAATAAGCCTATCGATTATTGACATCGATTTTAATATTACTCGGTCTTTAAGTGTTCCATAATTTTATTTTAAAAATCTTTTCGACAACGAGTCTATTATTTGTAATATATTTTAAAGTATACTTGAATGAATGAACAAATGTATGAAGGATGCTAGAATGAGTTTAGATTTAAACATATTGTGATGTATATTATTAAATTATTTAGTATTCGTATTAAAAAAAATTCTACGTTTTCAATAGCGTATTTTTTTTCCATCAGCCTAATATTTTGATTATTAAATGTGCAAAAAATTGCTCGATTTTAAATAGATTTTTAAAAATGACGTACTGTTTCTCCCCAGAACTATTAGTAATAAAGAAAACTGTAAACTAGGTGCTTACGAATGAAGCGGAGTTTGCTGCAATATCACAGCAGGAATTCTGTATTGAGTTAGTTTAGTTCAGGGAAGCTTCTGTAGAGGGAGCAGTATAGCTAAAATTTTGATATTCTTTAAAATAATAAGTGTACGTTATAAGAATATTACTTATAAAACACCGAAATTTCAATAACCTTAAAAGTAACATAAATAATTGCATATGTATACATTAGACTGATTCAGCATTTTATAGCTTTAACAACTTTGGAAAAGTGCAAGATGCAAGTTCAGTATCAAAAGCACAAATAAAGTATCTTTTATCGGAAAAGTAGCATATATGCGTTCTAAAAATACACTTATTTATAGCCAGAGTTGATACAAGTTCTAAAGTAGCTTTGGAGATTCGGAAAAACAACTTATATTCGGGGTCCTATCTGGGTATAGATATCTTATTACTTGAAAAAACTATCCAAATTCTTCTGAAGATTAGGTATACAGGGTGTTTCAAAACAAATGCGAAAAACTTCAGGGGGTGATTCCTTGTTCAAAATAAAGGGTAGTTTGCTTCCTAAACGTTGGGTCAAAAGTCAACCATTAGGGAGATATTGCGGTACAAAGATGGCGGAAAAATAATGTTTTTATTTTTTATCTTGAAAACGAAAAGAGATAGACTAATTAAATTTTATGGAAGCATTACTGTTAAGAGAAACACACTTTCTGGTAATTTTTCACTTTTTAAAATGAGTGGAAGGTGTTGAAATAAACTACCCTATTATTCTTGTTAACGAAATTTAAAGAAAAGCTTATCAAACACATGCAAAAAAACTAATTTGGATAGTTTAGTTTGTTTAGAAACTTTTTTATCTCTTGTATTTTTTTGATAAAACTCACCGCTTTGAAATTAAAAAATAAAATGTAAAGCATTACATGTCGGGACAAAAAACATTTTCTGAGAAAGAATCTAGTGGGCTGCTGTAATTTTTTTAGAAAAAAATCTAGTCGGCCGCTGTTACTTTTTAGGATGTTCCTAATATTATTTTATTTGGCATTACTCTACTGCAATACATTATTATCTAGATGATTATTATTATCGTTATTATCACTAGATTCTTAATCTAAAAATGTTTTTTGTCCTGACATGTAATGCTTTACATTTTATTTTTTAATTTCCAAATGGTGAGTTTATCAAAAAAACACAAGAGGTAAAAAAGTTTCTAAACAAACCAAACTATCCAAATTAAAGCATTTGCATGTGTTTGATAAGATTTTTCTTTAAATTTCGTTAACAAGAATGATAGGGGTAATTTATTTCAACCCCTTCCACTCATTTTAAAAAAGTAAAAAAATTACCTGAAAGTGTGTTTTCATAACAGTAATGCTTCCATAAAATTTCATTAGTCTATCTCTTTTCGTTTTCAAGATAAAAAATAAAAACATTATTTTTCCGCCATCTTTGTACCGCGATATCTCCCTAATGGTTGACTTTTGACCCAACGTTTATAAAGCAAACTACCCTTTATTTTGAACAAGGAATTACCCCCTAAAGTTTTTCGCATTTGTTTTGAAACACCCTGTATATTTATGTATCTTAACCTGAAGTACCGTAAATAATACATGTTGATAATATATTGAGAGAAAATAATATATTATGCGGCATCAATTCGAAATAGTTTGTAGTCTCAAGGAAATGAAATAAGCCAGTATCTGAGACGGTTTTACAGAGATTAGTTCTCCATCTCCAACATCAGTAGTACCAAAAGATTATGGCATGAATGGTTGTTGTTTACAGACAGTGTTTTGTTAAAGAGCCCGTGACACTCCGATGATTGTTCTTACTAAAATCAAGGAAAAACTTTGATTTCTCTCGGTCGCAAGTCCTGAGATATTTCTTCGAGTGTCTTAGACAGTTTACCGATTGCAATCTCATCTGAAAGTGCTCTGATCGTTGCATCTCAATGTCCGCACCTGGAAGTATATGCGTTGGTGATTTGCGGGGTTGAGAAACAAAGTTAGGAGGTGCAGGGCATGATGAGAATACATTTTTTTATCTATGAGACGCTCGCGTGGTTAACAGCCGCGCTAAATCCGGAGGGTGCGCAGATCAATGTTCGCCTCCGGGACTCTGATCCCGTATTCCCGTCTCATAATTTACCGTTACTACGCTCAGTTCTAGTTGCATCGCCTGCCGCAAGAGGTTCGTGAGTGCCTGCTCCCAAAAACATCGCTCCGAGCGTCTAAAGGTAATAATGACAACAAAAAAATTCTCGCGCATAACTAGACACATTCCAAATTTTTTTATCGACAGTACCACATTCCTAACCGATAATTTTCTTACTTTTCTCTACACTTTTTTCCTAGTTTTACTTTTTTCAAATTTTTTAAATTAATAATAATTTTTTTATGTTTAACAGAAAATAACATACATTTTTTAAATTTAATTGATTAAGTTAATATAATATATTATAATTTTTATAATCCAAGAAATATTTACATGAAGTTAATATTTTTTAATTATGTTATTTTATATGTGGTTAATATTGAGATAAAATATATTAATCGAAGATTTCAAAAAGAAATGAATAAAGAAGGCACGACCAAATGAACAAGTCGTATAAATTTTGATAAAGAATTTGAGGAATTTTAAATATATAAATATGCGTATATGAGTATGAGAGCAGTATGTGCCGTGTTTTCATAATAAGCATAAACTAGATCCCTATAAAAATTGCTTATTTTTATATAGCCGATTCTAAATAATATTTATTTTTTCCTCTCAAACTTAAAGTTCGACTAATTTATTATTTTCTCATGCGGTAAACATGCTTGTGAACGGAATTTAAATAATTAATTCTAAAAATAAACAATATTTACTTTTCGACAAATATTAACCAAACCTTCGTTCATAATTGAGAGCTTTATATTTAAATGCCTCTAAATAAGTCAATTAATTATTTAAATCATTTCTCTCCCTTTGGGGGTTTCACATACAATTCCATAAAATATTTCTAAACAGGATCTTCCTAAAAAAGATTTTAAATAACTAGAGAGTCTTCTAAGTGGACAAAGGAATCAAAAACTAGAAGAAGATTGATTGTGTGATAAAAATAGAAAGTAACTTAAAGTAGTAAAAGAAATGTGGGGAAACTAAGATGGATTTCCATTAGAAAAGTAATATATCTTATTTTCGCAATTTCCTTAATTCAAAAAATAAATATTCTTCTAATAGAAAAAGTCGAATAATAGAATTAATAATAGTTGCAGAAGGGTCTACTATTTTATTATTTTATATTCAAAATAAATTTATTATATATTTATCCGATTCGAAAATAAAAACATTTAATTTTCAAATGGGCCGTCGCCAAAAGACTCGACAAATATTCAATAAAAATATGAAATTATATATGCATTTATGTAAATTATTGGCATTGTTGTTAATTCATAATTGAAATATCCTAAAATTAAAATATATTCAGCCTAATTACATGCTACGCATGTTTATAATTTACGCCGGACAAATAATTGTCACAAATATTAACATTTCCATGGCATAAAACTCAATTTATGCAAAAATACGTACAATTTAGGTGTAATTATAATTATTTTATAGAATTTTATAAAAAATGTAGATTTTTTACTATATTACTTATGGAGGTACAAAACCAAAGCCAGTAAAGATAATGCTAGCAGATTAATTGGTAATATTGTTTATTAATAATATAATCATATAAATTGTTATCAATTCTAAATATTATCAGAGAAGTTTATCTATCTAGGTACCTGTAATAGGTATAAAAAAATAAGCATACCTTAACATAAGTTATTAAAAACATACCTATCCAACTGATGTGTAAATATTTAAGAAATACTTTATAACAGTTCAAATGTGTTTTTATTGAGATGAATTTCAAAATATCAAGTAAAAATATATAGGTGTAATGACTGAGATTATTTTTCTAGCTAATGTGTGTACTTTGAACTGAAAAAAAAAATTATTCAAACAGATTAAAGATCAGTTATTTATAATAAAGTTAAAATAAATATTATTGTCTATTCTTATTACCTAAAATAATTCTTTATACCTTTATATTTTGTTAAAATAATATTAATTTTAACTTCTTAAACATCATTTCCCATTTCCCATTGGGCGCTACTCTCTTATTCATCATTCAGATTTCTTTTACAGCTTTTGTCAGTATTTTGTAAGCATTTTTTTCCGCTTTTAAGTTGGGAAAAAGTCGGCTATTTTTTTAAGTTTTCCATGCCCTTAGAGAAATAATATACCACCGAAAATTACGAAAATTCCAGTATTTGTAGAAAATTTTGTGTAGATTCTGAATATATAGACCTTTAAAGGCTTAAATATCCTGGTTTTGCGAGAAAATTTATTATTTGGACCAATGTTTTTGAACTATTTTTGATGATGGTGAATACGTCCCCCCATTACTGTTCTCGTGACTCTACATTGGCCTATATTTCTTTATTCTACACCTTTTAGTTAGTAAATAACCGCATATTCAGCGAAATCGGTGACATGACAAAAAACGCCAATTTTCATTTTTTGCACATATTCAAAGGCCTTAGAAAAATAGTAAACATAGTCATAAAATTATAAAAATTTTAGGATTTATAGGAAATCTTATGTAGATTCAGAATATACAGGGTTGTTCACCACATACGACACGGAGTATTGTAGCTAAACGATGAGATTTTTACAAATTGTAAGTTTGGGGTTCGTTGAAGGACTATTAGAGCTACAATTTAAAAATATTTTTACAAGATACAGAGTGTCCCAAATAAATAAAAAATATCAAAGTTGTATTTTTTTAAATGAAGTTTATTTATTGATCAGTTATTGTGTTGCAATAATAAAAATAATACTACATTTTAAATAATTATTAACTTCAAACGGCAATAACTTCTTTAATTTAAATGGAATACCCTGTATATTTTAGGAGAATCAGATGCACAATTAAATTGTCTATCAAATTGTATTATACCATTTTTACCTATCCCTTCAAAGTTTTCGTAGAAAATGCATTTTCTTATAATTTAGACCTCATTTATCAATATATATCCATGGAATACTGACATTTTAGATTGTTTTTAAAGCAACAAATGTACAAAAAGTACAGACTAAGCTAATATTATCGTTTTTAGCAAAACGAAAATATTACTAGCCCATTTGTATGCAAAAAAGAAAACTATTTAAATCTTTATAAAAGAGTATACCATTAATTAAATATAACATCATTATTTCCGCCCATATACTAATTAATGACATACTTAATTGTGTTCGTTAATAAATTATTATAAATAAATGTGGATTTTGAGTCAGAAATCAATATAATAATAAGTTATCAAATTAAAGTCTTTGTTGTTATAAATAAGCATTTATTAAAAAATGAAATATCATTTTGAAGATGTTACTTTTATATCACACTGTCTAATGCCCATACAAAATTCAGTTTTTTTAGTATTTGGAGCAATTATTATTAATCAACGCAAACAGTCAGTTAATGTAGTTTGAATACTGGAATCATATTAATTGGTCCTCTTTAACAAATATTTAAACAGTTTTTTTATTTTTTAATAAAATAAACGAATTATATCGACAATATTAGTATCTGTACTCTTTAAAAATTTGGTACATCTTTAAAAATAATCTAAAATGTCAATAGTCCATGGGTATATTGATAAATAAGTTCTAAATTACAAGAAAATGCATTTTCTACGGAAACTTAAAGAGATAAAATGGTATAATATAATTTGATAGACAATTAAATTGTGCATCTGATTCTCGTAAAATATACAGGGTGTTCCATTTAAATTAAACAAGTTATTGCCGTTTGAAGCTAATAATTATTTAGAATAAATTTTTAGACACTCTGTATAAGGTAGTATTATTTTTATTATTGCAACACAATAACTGATCAGTAAATAAACTTCAGTAAATATTTAGTATTAAAAACTTTGATACCCTTGGAGAAATGAAGCCTTAAAATTTTTACTGCAATTTTACAAAATTGAAAAATATTTCAAAACGGTAAGGTTTAAGTATAATAAATCTTAATCAAATTACCTTTATTTTAATCGTAGAAACTAAAAATGTAATAATATACAGGGTGTTCCATTTAAAAAAATACAACTTTGATATTTTTAACTTATTTGGGACACTCTGTATCTTGTAAAATTATTTTTAAATTGTACCTCTAATAGTCCTTCATCGAACCCAAAACTTACAATTTGTAAAAATCTCATCGTTTAGCTACAATACTCCGTGTCGTATGTGGTGAACAACCCTGTATACATCTTTAAAGGATTAGGTAATATTGGTTTTGTGAGAAAATTAATTATTTGGACCCATGTTTTTGACTTTAAAAAAACCCGATTCAATGAGATTAATTATCAGTTATTTATAATTACAGTTATTTATAATAAAGTTAAAATAAATATTATTCTTATTATCTGAAATAATTCTTTATACCCTTGTATTTTGTTAAATTAATATTAATTTTAACTTTTTAAACACCGTCTCATTCCCGTTGCTTATAGCTACTCTCTTATTCATCATTCAGATTTCTTTTACATCTTTCGTCTTTATTTTGTAAGCATTGTTTTCCGCCTTAAGTTCCTTTCATTAAAGGAAAATTTATTTCCTTGGGAAATAAGCAGCTGCCTGTAATATCAGAACAACATTTATAATAATTTCCCCGTTCGCTTCAGTAGAAATATAAATTTTTTATGATTCAGTCCAATATTCTGTCGCGACTTCTTGATTTCAATAGTTTTATTGTAACAATTACGGCCCGAAGGCCGAAATTATGTACATGTGTGTTACCCAAACTGCTCAGATTTAACCTAAATATTTATTGTTTTAACAAATTTCGGCTTGTAAATATATTTTGCTTCCTTTGACGTAATATATCGACCATAAAATTCCGCAAAGTAACTTTATCTAAAGAATTAATAGCGTATTTTTAGTACTTGAACTAATATCAATAAAAGTATGAACTTCAATATTCCCATACACACTCTCAAAGTAACTCTTAACAAAATCAATCTCAATAAAACTCTGAATTCCTCCATTAATATATACAGGGTTGTTCACCACATACGACACGGAGTATTGTAGCTAAACGATTAGATTTTTACAAATTGTAAGTTTTGAAGGACTATTAGACAATTTCAAAATATTTTTACAAGATACGGAGTGTCCCAAATAAATAAAAAATATCAAAGT